AATGTCAAAAATTACAAAATTATGAAAGTGCCCTACATGATTCTTCTTCATTACACTTGACTTCTTCCCCTCTCCCCCTCAATTCTCTCATTCTCCACCATCAATGCCCTCAAGACATAATGCTTTATCATCCATAAATCCTTTCACTATTTTTATGACTATGGTATGTGAATATTCATTCAGATTGGACATTATATATGTGTTTAGCCTCCAATTTGATGGCTTGAAATGTGTTTGAGATAATTTGTATGATTGTTTGAAATTGATTATACTCGAGTTTCAAAGCTTCTTCTCTTAAATGGAGTATTATTAAAAAAAATGTAATTAGAAAGTGGTTTTTATAAGAATCAATTAGGTGATTTAATGCTATGTAATTTTGTCAACCATCTTATCTTTCACAAGGACATCTATGACCTATTCTATTGCATTGAGATTTGTTTAGAACTAAATTTGTTGTACTTGATTTATCAAATGTAGGTTTGAAATTCTAAAGCCTTACGTAGATCCTAGTCATCCTCAACCCCTTCCTAGAGTTAACATTGTCATTAGGTTGGATCTTTCTTATTCATAAGTTTGACATGATTGGTTAACTACTTTTCATAACCACACTTAGATGGTGATGCATTTTGTGGGTCTTTAACAAACATTAGCATCAAATACAATCTCTATCTTAGAAGTGGTATACATATGAGCAGCTTGCCTTTACCCTATTCAAACTTATTTGGTAATGGAAGTTTTATTAATCATAATAGTAATCTTTTAAGCTTTTTACACAATCTCTTCACAACTCTAATAGGAAATAAAGTTAGGTATAATGACATGTTACCTACTCAATTTAAGGATGCACACAATTTCACTCTGTTTTAACAAATATTGACAATAACTATTTAATTACATTACTCTATGGAGTTTCTATAAAAGTATAGCTTAAATTGCTAATTCACCTTTTTTTTTCTTCCTTATTCCAATATGTTATATTCTATTGCTAGAATAATAGCCTTGCCATATAAGATTATAAGTGTGGTTCAAGAACTTTTGAGACCACCATCCCAAAGAGTGCCCATTACAACTTTCTTAGACAATATAACATTATGTTGTGGATATCAACAAGAAAGCTACCCCCGCAACACCAAGGAGCTTTGTTGCACTCAAGCATTTACAATCTTCACACAAGAATCACCCTAGAACAATAGCAGCAAAGCCTGAGTGATTTCATCCTAAGCAATTCACAACATTCTTCATCAAGGCAACCACTTTAGATTTGAAAGCCCAATTACTACAATCAATTTTATTGGGCCTTCGTAATAAAATTATTAATTGAAACCTGCTACTTAAGTTATGAGATTCTAATTACATTTTTTAGCCATATTAGAGTGGAATACTTGCTAGAGTATAAAGGATAGGGGAAAGTACAAATCTAAGAGTTCCCAATAAACAAAAACCAAGAAGCAAAGTAGGCTAACAATGATAGATGAAGCATTGACACAATTCTTATGACCCTAAAAATACCAAAGGCAATTCATATAGTTTCTA